CTGTTCTAAAGAGAACACAAACCATTTTTTAGCCCTCTCTCTTGTCTCCTGACACCTGCCCCATCTACCTGGCCACAGTGCATGCTGGGAAATGGGTGTGAACTATAATGTGTGGGTAAGTGGCCTCTCTTCATCTTTCAGGGAATCCTCTCTGGTGTGTGTCATCTGGCTTCCTGAATCTTATGCACCCTCCAACATATAATTTATCCCCCACACCCCATCCAAGCTTAGCCGTTTCTTTGGCGACCCATAATCCTGAGGCATCTTAAGAACTTCTTAGTGAAATCCTGCATGGCCAGTTTAGGGCTGTCCACAGGAAGCCTGGAGGAGATGAAGGTTACCTGTTACCAAAGCGGCTGCTTTCACTCTGTCCCTGTGCTGTATTTACAGCAGTTTGAGTCATGGCGTCATCCCCTGACCCTTCTGTAAACAAGTCATCGGGTTCTTTCTGGTCCCTCTGTGGTTTCAGCGGAGACTGAAGGGCGCTGAGGTCATCCTCCTAAGCTCTCGCCCATGTTTGCTTTGGCTTTTTGTGTCACATGACATTGTCGCTGATATCGCAGTGGGCGGAGTGTACCCCGGCGTACCCTGCCTTCTAATCCCATCCAAAACCTGCTGCTAATACCACTGTGCCGGGAAAGCCCCCCCCCCGCCAAAGAAACACAAAATAACACCCCCTTCATGAAAACCATGTGCTGTAGTTAAGGCTCTTAACAGCATAGGCCAGATCTCATTAACAGGTAATTAGCCTGTCTCATCAGTCATCTCAAAAAGGAGTCTATTGCTCTCTCTCTCCCTCCCTCTCCCTCTCCCTCTCCCCCCTCTCTCTGTATGTCTTTCAGTCAGTTTTACCAGGAGGGTAGTAAAGAAGACCAATGCATTCAGGATATTGAACCTGAAATGCAAAATAGTAGCTAGTGTAAGTGTTGGAGGTCAGAATATGAAGGTCTTCTGAAGATGTCAGCACACAAAACACCATCCACAGCACACAACCATTCATTCCCCCCCTCAAACTCAAGCTCAGTCTAGTCCCATGTGCTGGCTGCCAGTAGATGTAAGGGACTGCTGCATAGTTGGTGTGCTCTGTGCCCCCGTCCCAGTAGGAGGCAGCGTCTCGCACACATCTCCTTTTCCCATTATCAGCTCCAACAGCCGGGGGATGTTAAAAATTTTCTTAGAGCTCCATGTGACTGCCCCCCCCCATCTCAGGGAATGCACATATGGACTTGTAAGTCATTTCAAACCAGAGCGTCTGCCATGTAAATGAAGGAGAAAGTGGAATTAGACTTTTTGGAGCAGCGGGAGTATCCCACAATGTCTTTTGTTGGCCTCGAGCAGATGTTGGTGAAGAGGCGCTCATTTTGTCTTTTTAAGTGGTTCACAGTGACCTCAGGCCAAGCAATGTTGCTAGGGGATCTCAAAGGTTCAAACAGGACTCACCTGATTGACACTTGTGGTGACTCATTGGACAGTGTTGGATAGTTGTTTCTGCTCTGCCTTGCCTTGGGTTTGTCATACTGGATTGGCATCTTGTTCAAACATCAGTAGGACTAAGAAAGACGCAACATGTTGACCAGCACCTTAGATTTAGTCCTATAAGCCACATCATTCTGAAACGGTCACCCCGTGCCAAATAGTCTGACAAAAAACAGAATATAGGGGCTGTCCTGTGTCCTGCACCAAACTGGTTCCCCACACGTTCTCTTTGGCTGAACTTGATTATATTACAATAACAATGATAGCGACATGGAAACCTGCCTATTTACGAATGTAAACTTGTCTGCATTCATTTGCCTGCTATCACCCACACAGCACAAAAAAGGCCAAGGTTACAGAAGGTGTGACAGGCTGGAATAGCCAACTGTGTGAAAGAAGGAGGGAGGAAGATTAAAAAGTCGCACAGAACAAGTGATACCAACCCCCCAGATTCCCTTCATAGCTTGTCGTTGTTGAGAGTATCAGTCATCTGCAGAACCTGTCCACAGACACGCAGAGTTAGCTACTGTAGAACCATGCTTCTGGGGGCTTACATTTGACTGCCATTTTAGATAAAGGATCCAAAACTCTCTAAAAGCAGGGACCTTGTGGGGACCTTGCTGATCCAGTGGATTGCCATTGACGGGGAGGGGCTCCAAGAAAGCGGTATTGTTATGATGGAAAACCTGTTAGTAGGGAACAGAGAAATCAGCCAGACTGTTAATGAATACCCCTGTACATATCACAGGATCCTTGGAGCCTCATTAAAACAAATTTGTTTGTCTTAACTTTATCTGGGACACAATCTGAGGGGTCTTGGGTCCTGATTATGGGTGAGCAGTGGAAGACATCATATGACAGAGAGTGAGGGCTGAGAGTGAGGGCTGAGAGTGAGGGCTGAGAGTGAGG